AGGTAGGTTTTAGGTAATGAAAAAAGTGCCCCTAGCAAATACTTTTAAATCGTTTAATTTTTTTTTAAAAATTGAAGTTTCAAAATAACCGAGTCAGGTAACTTTCCTTGACTGAACTTTAGCATGGCTCTGGGTATAAATACTGTATACTCTATGGAACAGCCATAAATGGGCAACAGAAAATATTCTAGATTTTTGTGACCGATTCTAATTTCTTAATTATAATCTTGGTACACTGACGTAAGTTTCAATTTTTTGGTACCAATTTCACTTTAATCATACAATTCAACTAGAAGAACTCTCCAAATAGTCAAACTTCATAGAAGAGTCTGTAAACGATTAAATTTATCCTGATAAAGCCTATACTAGCCGCCAGTGTTAACCCTATCTGAAGAATCACTTGTGAAAAGTAAGTATACATTTTCCCCCAAACATTTCGCCATTAAGACCCTAAGAACTTAAAAGCAGGCGTGAGCTACAGAAAAAAGGTCCGAAAAAGAGATTAAAAAGTCCAAAAAAACCAACAAACCCACAAATATATTACGTAACATCTGAGGGGCTCACGCCGGAGACGAGAAGAGCTGCACTTTCTGGCACGAGCTTTGCCTGACGCGCATGCGCCTTCCTTCAACGGTCGCCCGCGGAAGCACGACAGTGGCCTTTTGACCCCCGGTCGAGATCACCTTTCCCGCCAAGAGCAGCGCAAGGCGCGCCGGGAACCCCAGATGCGGGAAGATTACAGCGCCATGTCTCAGAGAAAAAGCAGAGGGTCAATAGGGGAAGGTTAAGTAAGTGCATGTGCAAAGCCTTCCTGCAGTGATCAAAGTGTTCTCAGCCGCCATTTAATTCATCATATTAAATTCTGATTGTTTTCTGACTTTTGATTTTGTTATTGGATCTACCACATATTGTGTTCCCGCCTTTCAGTCTCCTGTGTTTTCAGGAAACCAGTTACTCTAGCAGTCTCCTACTTAGTAATACTACTGTTATGTCTGTGGGGACAATGGATAACTTTGAAAGTAATTTATGTCTCATTTAGAAACAAAATAATAAAATCAGAGCAGTAGATAGTTGAGATTATCCAGTAGTACAATATTCTTAGTTTACAAATTGTTACATATCCAAGTAAGTTATGTTAGTAGTGTAACATATAATTATTCATAAACCTTGATATATCTTCATTATGGGCAAGGAAACAGCCACCCCAAATATGAAAAGATTTGCCTGAAGTCATTCAATTAGGAGAGGAATGAAGACTAGAACCCTGTTTTCAAGATCAAAAATAGTCAAAATCTTGGTCTAATAATTATTTTGCTTTATCTTTTTCTCACATTTAAAGTTTACAAAGGGCTTTCCCATTCACTATCTTTTTATTACTTTGCTTCGTACAAGAACCTTGTGAGGAAGACACAGGTATTATCCCAATTTTAGAAATGAGAAAACAGACTAGGGCAATTATCTGTATTGATGTAGACAGTTACAACTCGATGTAAGTGTATGAAAAAAAGGCACTGGATTTAAGGAGAAAGTCAAAAGTGGAGAAACTTTATTTATGTTTTTTTCCCAACATTTTATGTCTTCAATAACATACACAGTGGTTACCAGCCATATTCATAACAAAGATTATTCATAAAATATATCTAAAAATAACATTTTTTTCCTTTTCAGTGTGAAAAGCTACAGAATGTCCCAGTGAGAGTGGTGGGTTGAGGGGAATAAAGAGGTTGGAATAGGGGGACCTTGGCTTCCCCACAGTCCAAGCCCCCAAACATCCTCTCTCTACCTGGGACCCAGCACAATCCCTCATTAGGAAGAGGGATCAGAGGATCTGTCTGACCCTGGGGCTGGGACAAAGGAGAAACAATTTCGATGGGAAGGTGGGTCATGGAAGGCCTCTCTGGGGAAATGACATTTAAGTTACAACCAGAAGGATGAGTAACACACACACACACAAACACACACACACACAGAGGCAGGAGTATTATGGGCAGAGAGAAAAACACTTGCAAAGGCCCTAAAGAAGGAAGTACTTCAAAAATTGAAGCAAGGCCAGTGTTGCTACACCATAGCAAATGTGGAAAACAGTGGCTTCAGATGAGATAGGAAAGCCAGTGTATGTTGAACTTAATAGTCAATGTTAATTAAAGCATTGTATTTTGTTTTAGTTATGATGGGAGTTATTGAAAGGTTGCAACTGGGAGGGGTATTATCTAATTCATATTTTTAAAAGATCATTCTGGCTGTTGGTTGGGGAATGAATTGAAGGTTGGTTGTGGAATTGGTTCATTAGCAAAGATACATTGATTCATCTTGAGTAGTTATGTACTTTGAGGATTGCTTTATTATCATTTTTAAAGATAGCCATGTTCAGATTTATAGTCTTTCTGGTAATTAGAGTGTGCATACCTGAAGCATCATCAAGATTCTTATCCAGAAGAGAAGAGTAAGAAAAGAATAATTTATTCAAAGAAATAATGTCTCTGTTGTCATTTTCTTGCGAGTCCAGTGGAATCCTAGTTCTGGAATATTTAAATCTCATTTCTTTACCTTTATTATGCACTTATAAGTCTTGTCAACTTTTACTCTATGATGGTTCCTAGATTTGCTCTGGGTTTTTTTTTTTTTTTCCTTCTGTTTTCACAGGGTGTAGGGAGAGTTTCCTCCTGTTTATTTTCTTTAAATCATCGTACATATAGGTTCCAGAATAAGTTTTTTCTTAATTTTCTTTTTAGAAATAGACTTGATTTCTACAAGTTTGAAATTACTTATTGCTAAAAATTTCCCCTTATGTTGGGTCTACAATGAAGATTTTAGTTAAATATTTCATTACTCATTTAGTTCAGGCATTCTTTACCTGGGATTCACAACTCCCAAAGCCTTCGCGGATAGAATTCAGAAAATTTGTAAATTTGTATGGAGGAAAAATTTACATTTTTATTTTCACTAATGTAGGGGAGGAAAAATATCTCCTTCTACCCATCTTAAGTCCATAGCTGAGGCCCCTATAACACAAGACAAATTAACAAAAGTATACAAATTCATTTAGTATAAGTTTTACATGACATGGGAGCCTTCATAAGGAAATGAGGATTTGAAGAAACAGTTAAACCTGTTTTTTTGTTTTTTTTTTAAAAGATGACCGGTAAGGGGATCTTAACCCTTGACTTGGTGTTGTCAGCACCACGCTCAGCCAGTGAGCGAACCGGCCATCCCTATATGGGATCCGAACCCGGGGCCTTGGTGTTATCAACACCACACTCTCCCGAGTGAGCCACAGGCCGGCCCCCAAACCTGTTTGTTTTTAATAGTAGGTTTGATGAAGAGTGGAGAGTGATGGTGAAATGTGACAGGGCAACGGGGTTATGAGCTTTTTTTTTTTTTTTTTTTCCTTTTTGTCTTTTTTCGTGTCCGGCAACGGATCGAAACCCTCGGTATCGCACCCGCACCTCGCTCAGCCAGTGAGCGGGAACCAGACTGTATGTGGGATCCGAACCCTCGGCGGGAGCGCCGCTGTGCTCCCAAGCGGTTCACTGTAGCAGTGCGCCACCAGGCCGGCCCACGGGGTTATGAGCTTAATGTGATAAACTGGGGGAAATTTAGCAGGACTTGTTTGTTTAGATTCCTCTCTGTGTCCCTGTATCTTTGGAGGTAATGATGCTCTTTTCCTCCAGTTATAGGGAGAGCACCTTTTATGTAAGGTTCAAGGTCAGAAAATCCTTTCTAGGTTTTATGACTGCTTTGGGGAAGAACGGGGAGGAGGTCAGAGTGACCTTCCTGCTTCTGCAGGAAGACTTTCTCATATTCCTCCTACTTAAAAGATTCAACATGCCAAGTTGCCACATGTCGGGTAGTGTCCTATACATCACTAACCTCTAACTGAAAGTTAGCATTTCCTTCAACTCTGAACATAGTACATAAGCCATGGTAATATTAGCAATACTTGTGACTCTATCATCAAAAAAAAAAACCCCAGATATTTTCATATCACATTACAGTTTTTGCAGATGTTTTCAAATATCATTTATGCTTGACACTACTTCAAATTTCGGATAGTTATTAATTCTTATTTAATGTATTTATAAAGAAGCATGTGATTACTATCTCATAAATTTATATCTTAACATTTTAATAACTATTTCAATATAATTGGCTTCCTTTGTAATTCTACATATTTTATGTATTTAAAATCATTCTGAGAAGGCATCCATAGATTCACCAGATTGCTGAAGGTTGAGAACCCATATTAGAGTACTTGAAAAGTTATGGACAAAACAAAAATTATGTTAAAAACTAAAGAGTAATCAGCTAAATACTTTTAAACAATTGTATTTCTCTACATTTTTGATGATAGTCATGTATTATGGCATTATGACAATGTTTTTATATTCAGTAATTTTTGTTCCTTAAAATGTCCTTTATGAAGAGGGAGCCAGAGATAGTGAAATTAGTATAAGGTCAGTTTAGGATATATTAATGACATTTTCCTACACATTTTTCATGTCATAGACATGAATTTATAAAATTTAAAGTTCCTGCTGCCTGTTCAGAGCCCAGCTACTAATCTAGAACAGTTGTGAGAAAGGTCCATCTGAATTATATAAAACTATGAGTAGAATATTTTTAAAGAAATGCAGTTTGGTTATTTTACTCAGGTTGGCTCAATTATTGGCCAAAAAAAAGTTCTGTCAAATTGTTGATGACTAGGTACAAATAATTAGAACTAGCATATTAAATTGTTGATCATTAAAATAATTATTACAAAGTGCTTGAAAGTTGATTCTTTTAAGCACTTGTCTACTTTAACATCACTTAATTTAAAAACATTTATTGAATCCTTTTATGTGCAAAGATAAAATCTGAGCCCTGAGGACATTTAAAACCTAATATGTTGTTCCATCAAAGTTGCCATAGCCCATCACCAGCATACCACAATTAGTATTCTCATGATAGATTATAATGGTTATCTAAGAACAGGAAAAGAATGATATATGGCAATGATAGAAATTTGAAATGACACATTTATTAAGCACTTTTAGGCCATCAATTTACAAAAGGCTATTAAGAGACTTAAAAAGACAAACAGTATAAAATAAAACAATGACAAACACAACAGATTGTCTTAAGTTAAACAATCCTCAGTTATCTCTATAGTGCATTATTAATTTACTTAGCAAACTTTTTTCCAAGATCTGCAGAGTTAAAAAAGTGAAGAGTCAAACTGTATTTTCTAAATAGTAGAGTAAATATATATTGATCATGACACACTTATTTCTTCTGGACACAGCAGGTAAAATTAAGAGGAAGTGTTTCATCTTTCTTGACTTGTTATAAAATGAAGAGATCCTTTAGATTTCTGGGTAAGAGGGAAAATTAGCAATCCCACAATGATTTCCACTATTTCTTGCCATCCGAATATATCCTTGTTCACCAAAGTTGAGGCCCCAGCTTTAGAAAAAGAAGTAACACAAAATTACAAATGAATACAATCAAATCATATGACCAACTTTTTATCTCTGATTGTTTTTCTCCTAAAGTGATTACATATGAAAAGCTGTGAACCAAAGGTAGAATGAAATAATATAATAATTTCCTTAGGGATTTTGGGCAATTTTCAAAGTGTAGCTTCGAAGGCTTTAGTGGTATATTGATGATTAAACTTAGTACCTAAGGAAACCAATATAAGGTCCATCTCAGTCCTTTAATCTTCCTACTCTGTAAATATGCCTTGTGCAGCAAACAAGTATTATTATCTTCTATAAGGCTCCATCTCTAAATGCCTAATAGGATCACGGGTGATGATTTTCTATCAAACTTAAATTCCTCTAGAGAATATCAATTAAGAAATATTTTTGAGTGACTACTATGAAAAAGGCATAGGGCAGGGAATTCTAAAGTAAACAGTAAAAAGTGAAGCTCTGAAAGAGCTTTTTGATCTAGAGGTGGAACTGAGATAAGACTTTCTCATAATTAAAGCTATCAAAAAATGGAGTATGCTACCTTGTAAGGAGGTACACTCCCTGGTACTGGAAGGGTTCAAGTGGAAGCTCATTGCATAACTTGCCAGAGATGTTGCAGAGGGAATACATAGGTCAAATAAGGGTTAGAGGAGATCAACGGTTCTCTCATTTTTGATCTCATGGACTTAAAGGATTTCAAAAATTTTTTGCAGATTGATGTAAAGTAACTAACTTTTAAATTAGTATGTGCGGGGGCCGGCCTGTGGCTCACTCGGTAGAGTGCGGTGCTGATAACACCAAGGCCACGGGTTCGGATCCCATGTAGGGATGGCCGGTTCGCTCACTGCCTAAGCGTGGTGCTGACAACACCAAGTCAAGGGTTGAGATCCCCTTACCGGTCATGGAAAAAAGACAAAAGAAAAAAATAAATAAATAAATAAATAAATAAATTAGTATGTGCGGATATATAAAAAATCCCATACCATTTACTCTTGCCATCATGTTCTAAAAGAGAAAAAAAATTTTTTTTTTTTGTCTTTTTCCGTGTCCGGCAACGGATCGCAACCCTCAGTGTCGCCCCCGTACCGGACCGGGACCGGCAACGGGATCGCAACCCTCGGTGTTGCTCCCGCGCCTCGTTCAGCCAGTGAGTGGGAACCGGTCTGTATGTGGGATCCGAACCCTCGGGCGGGAGCGCTGCTGCGCTTCCCAAGCGGCGCACTATCCAGTGCGCCACCGGGCCGGCCCTAAAAGAGAAAATGTTTTAACACCAAAAATAAAAAATTAGAGGACATAATCTCTAATTTAAGTCAAAAAAATTTATAAAGTCACCAAAATATTGTTTTTCTCACTTTACCACAGACCAGTGAAAAAAACTGATAAAACCCTTGTAAGATAAATTATTTCTGAAGTCCTTAATGATTCTGAGGTTTTGTGATTGTAGGTATACAAATAATTATAATATGAGGCAGAATTCATTAAGTGCTTTAAGTAGGATACAAATAAAAACATGAAATTAAGAAAATAGGGCCGGCCCAGTGGCGCACTCGGTAGAGTGCGGCGCTTGGGGGTGCGGCGGCTCCTGCTGAGGGTTTGGATCCCATATAGAGACCGGTCCGCTCACTCGTTGAGCACGGTGCATGCGCGACACCGAGGGTTGCGATCCCGTTACGGGTTGCGATCCCGTTACCGGTCACGAAAAAAGACAAAAAGGAAAAAAAAAAAAAAGGAAAAAGAAAATGGGCTGGCCATTAAGGTCAGTTGGTTAGAGCACAGTGTTATAATATCAAGGTCAAGGGCTTAGATACCCATAGTGGTCAGAAGCAACCCCCCCCCCCCCCCCCCCC